TTTTTGACAAAGCCTTACTTGCAAATAATTAAATAAATAAAAATAAAAAAACTACTGGCAAGGTTAGTCTTGGAATTCAAGGTATCATTTTTCTAATGTTTTTCAAGACCCTCCCTGTTTTTTAAAAAATTATTTTATTGGGGGCTCGTACAATTCTTATCACAATCCATACATAAATCCATTGTGTCAAGCACATATGTACATTTGTTGCCCTCATCATTCTCAAAACATTTGCCTTTTACTTTAGCCCTTAATATCAGTTGCTCATTCCCCCCTCCATCCCCATTTCCCCCTCTCTCATGCACCCTTCATAATTCATAAATTATTATAGTTTTGTCATGTTACACTGTCCGATGTCTCCCTCTGCCCTCTTCTCTGCTGTCCATCCCTCAGGGAGGAGGGTATACTTAGATTCTTTTAATCAGTTCCCTCCTTCTACCCCACATTCACTTCACCCTCCAGGCATTGCCTCTCTCACCACTGGTCCTGAAGGACTCATCTATCCTGGATTCCCTGTGTTTCCATGTACATCCTTTGGTCTAGCCAGATTTGCAAGGCAGAACTGGGATCATGATAGTGGGGGGAAGGAAGCATTTAAGAACTAGTAGAAAGTTATATGTTTCATCGTTGCTACCCTGCACCCTGATTGGCTCGTCTCCTCCCCACAACCCCTCAGCAAAGGGGTGTTCAGTTGCCTACCGATGGACTCTGAGTCTCCACTCTGCACTTACCCATCTTTACAATGACATGATTTCTTGTTCCTTGATGCCTGATACCCAATCCCTTCGATGGCTCGTGGTTTCCACATGCTGGTGTGCTTCTTCCATGTGTGCTTTGTTGCTTCTGAGCCAGTTGGTCACTTGTTTATCTTCAAGCCTTTAAGACCCCAGATGCTATATCTTTTGATAACCGGGCAACATCAGCTTTCTTCACCACCTTTGCTTATGAACACGTTTGTCTTCAGTGATCGTATCAGGAAGGTGGGCACCCACTGTTCTGATTTTTAGTGAACCTTCCTGTTTTTAAAAACCAATCTTTGGCTTTGTTTGTTTGATTGTTTGTCTGAGATGACCTTGCTTGTCACCAAAGACTCCATGTCCATTTCAGGTTTACTTCTGCTTTTTTGTTTTTGGCCCCTCAGACCGCACTGTTTGAAGGATAAGAAATCTGGAGAGATTTAAACAATTTTTGTTTTTTAAAGAAACATACTGTATATATTTACACAGCCCATCTCAAGAAATGAAAGCAACAATATCCTATATAACCGTCCACAGATGTGGTTCTCCCCCCGCCCCACCACCACATCCTTTTCCCCTCCCCCCTCAATACCCAAGCTCTCGCCTCTTCCTGTTCCCAAAGTCTTGTCTTTTGGTGCATCAACCACATTTCTTTTTGTTTTCCCATGAAATAACGGTGTTATTAAATATTTATCGTTGTAAGCTTGACCAAGCTTGCTAAGCATAATGTTCTCTAGCTTTGTCTGTGACTTGTGCTGCTTGAGAGTTGTCACTATTTTTATTGATGCACACGATTGCACACTATGAATGTGTTAGGCAGCTAGACTGAGGGACAGGGGTTTGTCCCTCCTAAGGATAACATTGGGTAGAATGGGAAGGCCACAATACTTAATTGTGTTCAAGTGGGGCCTCTCCACATACGAAGAAGAGACAGTTGTTTGAACAGAACAGGTGCCTTTGAGTCAGTTCGGACTCACAGTGACGCTGTGCATAGCAGAGGAGTCCCGTGCTATCATGACTGCTCTTATGTTTGAGCCCATTGTTGTAGACACTGTGTTAACTCATCAAGACTTCCTCTCTTTCGCTGTCCCCTCCTGGAACCAAAATGTCCTCCTCCTGGAACCAGTGTCTACTGACAACATGCCCGATGAATGTGAGATGAAGTCTCCCTTCCTTACCTCTAGGGAGCATCTGACTGTTCTTCTTCCAAGATGGATTTGTTTGTTCTTTTGGCAGTCATGGTACTTTCAAGATTCCTTGTCAGCACCAAAATTCAAATAGATCAGTTCCTCTTCAGCCTTCCTTATTCAATGTCCAACTTTCACATGCATATGACGTGATAGAACAAGGCTTGGGTCAAGTACACCTTAATCCTCAAAGTCACATCCTTGCTTTTTGATACTTTAAAGAGATTTACCCCCTGCAATGCACTCTTTGATCTCTTTACTCATGCGTCCACGAACATTGACTGTGGATCCACGGAAGACAAAATCCTTGACCATTTCAATGTTTTCTCCATTTATTATGATGTTACCCATTGGTCCAATTGTGAGGATTTGGATTTTCTTTACATTGAGTTGCAATCTATGCTGGAGGTGACAATCCTTGATCTTCAAAGAGGAAGGAGGAAACGTGCATGTGTGTGTGTGTGTGTGTGTAATACTAATTCAGATTCCCTGCCACACACATTCCTCATTATCACCTGCCTTCTATTTTCTATGCCCTGCAATTTTTTCCTAGTCAGTCAGCAAACTGCTTTAGAGGCGAAATAATTTCCTAAAGAAACATAGAAAATATAGTTTCTCTCAAAACTATTTGTGATTTAAATTTAATGCCCCAAACAAGCAATTCTACTCCAAAGGGTTCAGGGTCTAATATTTATGCATACAAATCTTTTAGTAAGAAAACTTTAGCAGCCTGACACATAGCCACTTTTGGACTAAGATGAGGTGGTGAGGGAAAGAACCAAGGATTGGAAGGCCCCTGTGATGTGCTCAAAGAACAGAGCCTACTTTGTGACCTTACATTTAGGATTCTTTTTCAGTTGCACCAGGCAGCTGAGGAGAGAATGAGCTAGCATCTCTGACAGGAACAGCTGGGTTCGTATCAGGTAAGAATCCCAAGACTATTGAAAACGAGCACCATCATACCTTCATTAACAAAATGAATCCAAAGTCAGGGTGTTATCAGGCGGAATGAAGGTAGAGAGGGCTGCGGGGAAGATGAGTTTGATTTGATTAAGCTACAAAAAAATCAGAAACAAAAAACATCAGAACCACCAGGAAGCACATAGTTACACTATGGAAACTTTCCATCCATTTATACTTTGGCAAATGTATGTTATAACATTTCAGAGAAAATACTTTTTGCATGCTCTTTTGAAGTCAAATTTCAAATGTACATTTTAATCATTCATTCGGTACAAGTATTAACCCAAACCCACTGTCATTGAGTTGATTCTAGGGGCTCTATAGGGTTGATCATAGGGACTCTATAGGGTTTCTGAGGCTTTATCATCTCATAGGAGCAGACCGCCTCATCTTTCTTCCAAAGAATGGCAAGTGGGTTTGAACAGCCAACCTTGTGATTAGAAGTCTATTGCTTACCCACTTGAATATTGTCTATAAACTGAACATTGGTTAATACTAAGACATATATTTGTGCGGGAGTTACATAGTCTGGTGTCAACTTGAGACTTAAGAGGGAAGGAATAGAGTTTAGTCGGTGAGGTTGCAGTTTGATGACCTCATTTGGAGGCGCTAAGGAGATAAATAGCTCGCTGGAGGTGGGACACACACTCCCTGAGAGACATTCCTGCTGACAAGACACATGGAGCTACCTTAGAACCGTGGAGCTGGAGAGCCACGTGGAGACCCCTGCCAGCATTGAGATACTTCCACTGCCACTGGATCCACATGATTTTCCACCCATGGGCCTGTGATCTTCATGCATTTGGCGTCATTGCATGTGTTGCGTAAGTCTCAAGTGGAATTCATGGGTGAATATCAGACGTATGGGTTATTATTGAACTCATGGACTTGCTCTGGACTGAGCTGGGATGCTTTATTGGTGCACAATTGCTTCTTGATATAAAGCTCTCTCTTATACACATTTAAGTGTCTATAAATTTGTTTCTCCAGTCAATCCTGACTAACACAATTTGCTTCCATTACAATCACATGAGTTGAGGCTCTACTCTATTTATTTTTATGTGCATCATGAAACTAGGATATATCTATAAACCCTAACCCAAACTGACTGCCATTGAGTCCATTCTAATTCATAGTGACCCTATAGGACAGGGTAGAACTGCCCCTGTGGGTTTCTAAGATTGTAACTATATAGGAGTAGAAATCCTTCTCTTTCTCCCATGAACTGGTTGGTAGTGTTAAACTGCTGACCTTGAAGTTAGCAGCCCCATCCATAACCTACAATGCTACCAGGGCTTTAGCATATAGAGGGCATTCTATAAGTATTTATTGATGATATCACTGGATAATCCCTTAATTAATCATATTAAGGGCTTCCTTGAATATTACTTCCCATATTTTTGATTCCTTGAATGTTACTTCCTTTGTATCCCAGTCAGTGACTATCACTGAGTTCAGTTCAAGATCATAATTCAACTTGTGAGGGTCTTCCTGGGGCATCCCCACTTGCTTTACATTCAGCAGAGTCCTGGGAATGACTGTGAAGGACATATTTGTTAGACCACATGTAGAAATAGCATTGTGGTCACAATTAGAACCCCAAAGTATCTCTAAGTTAGTAATGAATCTGCTGTTATAGGAAGGGTGTGGTAGCTAGCTGCTTCCTCGTGCCCTGAGCTCCAAAGCCAGGTAGAGCTTGAACCGCGTCTAGCTTGCTTCGTCATGAGCTGTGACATTAAACCAAGTCCAAGACACTCACATAGCTACATAACATGCCCAAATGGTCACCAGGCTCTAGACCACAGGTACATTGTTGTTGTTGTTTTTGTTTTTAAATTCCAGAGCCAAGGGCTTTACGACTCTGGAATGTAGACTTAATGAGGTGTGACAAATAACCTATTGTAGAAGATCATACGTAGAATGAAGCCCTACACCTAAACCCACATGCCCCTGCTGGACACTCATAACCCCAAGAAATACATATTCATTCTGTGCTCCAGTTCAAGCTTCAGAGTTTATAGATGACGGAAGTGACAAAAAGTGACACTTTTTGTGGGACCCCAAAGAAAGCACATTGAAGGGAGATGAAAAAAATTCATCAGACTAAGGCTGATTAATTCAGGAATATAGTCTCTTAGATATTTATTGTGTTTTCCATAAAAGAAAACTAGACAAACCCAAAGAACAAAAACCACATTCCATACAGAATTCACATGTGAACAGAATACCCAATAGAACACATACAGTCTTTACACAATTTCAATAAGCATTAAAACTTCACAATGTGAATAAATGTCATAGCTTTAAACCCAGACAAGAGCTCCCGTGGACACATGAAGAGTCACGATATTGGCTATGCAGCAGTTGTTTTTTTTTTTTCACTAAACAACACGATCACTATGTCAAAGCATTAAGCTGTTACTCAATATATTTTTCTTAAGAAGAGTTTCACAGTACATTCACCGAGAAGTAGTCCAAAGTGCCTGGTGATGAGAGGGCCTTCATCTGCGTACTTCCTGGGGTCTCTCAGGGACCGAGTACAGACAAGCCTCTGGGCACGTATTTATCTGGGTGACGTGGGATTAGCCAATGTGTCAGAGCTTGACACATGGACAAAAATTTCAAAATCAGCTACTCTAATGTGGCTTTCAAGCCATTTGTGTTTTGTGGCCCATTCTGGGCTTCCAGGACCGAGAAATACGACAATGTGACATCTTGTGTTCCTCATGGAGACAAACGCGGAGAGTGTGAAATGAGAGCCATCTGGGGATTGCCCAAGGCCAGTATGCCTGTGTGGGAAAAATCATGACCCACAGTCACTAGATGGCCCCTCTTTCATTTACATGGAACATGCTGGGACCTTCCCATTTATTTGTCTACCGATGTCGTCCTAGGGTCACGCCTACACATTTCAATGGAGCTGCGACTCGTCCAGTCTTCTCTGGGCTCAGTATCAAGACATAATCCAGCATGTATCTTAGGTCCTGATGTTCTGTCTTATGCCTCATTCAGTCTGTATGAGCACGAGTCACAGCCCTTCTATGTTCTATTCTGAGCAGTTGTTCAGTAACGACGGGTCCACTAACTAAACATTGAACTCTAACCATAAATCATCATTCTAATGTTCACTACCTTCTTCCATTTGTCTTCTAAAAATTTGGCACAGAAAGTTCTCCCTAATCTCCTTGTTCTACCTGCCTTCCCATGGCTTCTTCAGTGGGGTTTGAAAGATGAGTACAAAATTCAGGCTCTAATATATAAAACTGGGCCTGGTGTTGCCCATGGTAGTCTGGAGTCCGTTGGAATGATTGGCACATCTTCACATATCAATTTCCGGCCAAGTACCACAAAGAACACGGAAGGACTCAAAGGACCAGAGAGGTCCTTGGCCTTACAAAGCCGACTGCCCTGCAGCACTGTGAGGGAGCCAATCATAACTCGGTCTTTCTTCCTAAGGACATTGCGGCATACTCTGGATGAAGTGAGCAGGCAAGGCGCAGCCTGAAAACAATAGCCTCGCTTTAAAACTTGAAATGGCAAAACAGAGCTTGAGGTCATTAAATCTACTTTAAGCATCATATACTTGGAACGTTCGGTAATCCAGAAGCCAGGGCTAATGTCTTGTTTTGCTGTCCAGTGATGCTGCAGGCCACCGCTCTGAGACTAGCCCAGGGGATGTGAGGATGAAGGTATGAGCCGTTGATGACGTTCCCACGGGGCTTAAGGACTCTGCTGTTCGTTTGTTTCTCCTCTACCATCTGTGTGGACAATTGAAGTGAGCGAGGGACTGTGACACGAGCTACAGCCTAAAAGACACGGAGACTTTAGGATGCCCAGGGTTGACAGATTCAAATTGCAAAATACAAGATCAAGTAACAATAGAACACCCACACAAAATACAAGAGCAGCCGAGCATATAACCAGCCCGAGAAGAACAACAAAAGTGACGTTTTCTTATGTGCATATTTTCCTTAAGTATCTAGATTAAATAAAAGGTACACACTTATAAGTGACTTAAGGAGACTTCTGAGACAAATAAGGACATGCCTTTATCAAATTAAACTAACAGCCATTAAAGTCCATCGTTCTAAAAGGTAAAACTGACGATTATTCAGACACTGAATGTTTGGTCTCCTAGAGGTAAAAACAGGTCAGTACTTTGAAGTGGCATAAAGGGGTCCCACATGACACCAATAAGGTATTTACTGCATCCATTGCACCACTAGACAAATACAGCTACTAGAAGTCATTTGAAGAAGTTACACAGCCATCAAAGCGCCTCACACAGTCATGACAATTCACTCTTTCACACTAGTTTATATACACTGATAAGTCATTAAATATTGCACTTATTGGCCCATGAACCCTCAATTATGAGGTGTTGAAAAATAGAAAACAAATCTATTTTTATAACATATTTCATGCAACATTTAAGACATTTCAGCTTCACAAACACGATTACACAGTTGTACAGTGAGACAGTCCAACGGCATCACATCACGTTTGACATCGACACTCTATTAACAGGAATTACAGGACAGAGTTTTCATTCCACACGCATCTTAGGGATGAGGAGACCACATGTGGCAAAGCATCACGTGGATAGAGCAAGCAGTGCTCAGACTTGACTTTCACTGAAGTATGAAACTACCAGATAGATGTAGGTCATGTTCACGTCCCTGAAAGGCCAGCTGTCCCTGTGGCTCGTGTACCATGAGTGTCTTTGAGAACAGTATTTATGAACCCAAGCAATCCCTAGCCCAAAGCAAGATGAATACAGGAAAGACTCCTGTTACGAGATAAAGGCACGGCCAACTCTCAGTTGTGCACGATGAAGGAGAGGCGAGCCCAGGTGAATGAAACGCACAGGGAATCTCAAACTCTCCTTTAGCAAGTAATGGTGAGTTAAAACGCCACTGTAGCAACAGCTACCGGTAGGAGGCAAATGGTGAGATTTGTCTCTTTTCCTGTTGTTCTGTGAAGATGGTATGTTAAGAAACAGGATTAAAAATCAAAATCAAACCAGGAAGCAGAAAAGAGAACTGCAAATAGAACATTGAATTTGTCCACTACTTAGATGGTCTGATTTTCATATTTGAGCCCTGGCTGAGGTGAGATCAAATTCATTTCTGTTGTCTAGGATGTTTGCAAAATATATTTTCTCTCTGCTGAATGGGAATCCAATATGTGAGCAGGCCTGCAGACTCATCGGTCAAATTAGTGTCAAGAACCTAGTTCATGGACCTTTTTAAGTAAGGTATGTGTTATCACTGGACCATAACACAGCTTCTCTTTCCCAGCACTGAGAAAGCACCATCTGTGGGACTTTCCCTTCATTAAAATAGGGAAGTGTGTATGTGTGTGTGTGTGTGTGTGTGTGTGTGTGTGTGAGAGAGAGAGAGAGAGAACATGGCAGCACTATGTGTATAGCCCAAGAATAAGTATTTTATCTTATTACTATTTACAATATTATTATTATAAGGGGACATATTATTTGACTAGAGTGCCAAACATTTTTGTAAAGGTTTCTTAAAAAAAATCAAACAAACAAAACCAAAAATAAAATCACGTTTCTTTAGGAGTGCCAGTTACAAGCCATATTCAGTCCTATTTGAACCCCATTAGGGATACTGTATTTCTAGAACTCTGGACCCTTTAGGAACAATAAGGGCAAGTCCCCCTTTTCTGGTCATAATTGATATCGTTTAGCTAATTTGTGTCAGTTCCTTCCAGATTACAAAGCAGGGCTATGTCTTTAACAGACATTGGTAAAAATAAAAAATCACCTAAGCTATAAAGAACTCAAAAATGCCATCATCTTAAATCATAGCCTGCCCAGCCCATCAGGAAGACTTCACCCCTGTACTGGCAAACATCCCACGCCAGGGGTCGGATGCCCAGCTAGGCAGAGCTAAGCAGGGCTGTAGAAACTGCACCTTCTAGGCTAACAGTTCAAAGGACGCAAGGATTGTAGTTTCTCGCAAGCACCCTGCCTTTGCACATGGAGTGAGTTTACGTGCTACGCAACTCCGTGCTCCGGTCACAGGCCATGTAACCTGTCGGGTGAAAGAACTCTTTAGAGAGAAAGACAAACCAGCTCCCAAGAAGGCAAGACCAAGATGCCCCACGGAGCATTCCAAAATTGCTGGTGAAAATACTCAACGCACACAGGCAAACTTTGTGGTCTGGAAGGATTTTCCTCTTGACCTTATAAGATAATATTTCTATAACAGTTTTTCACATGCAGCTGCTACCTAAGCTTAGGATAGCTTGGTAGAGTTTTGGTACAACTTTAGCAGAGCCCCACAAATGCCAGCTATCTGATGGCATTGGGTGCGCGCGCACACACATATCATGCACTAAGATAAATGCTGGATCAAGCTTTTCACACAAAACCACCATTGCAAAAGACTACCCACCAACATGAATGCTGCTTCATGGGAGTTCAACTAACAGGTAACGGATTCTACTTTTTAAAAAGAAGACAAATATTGTGTAACACAAGCCTAGTCTCCGCATAAATGTGGTTCATTTTGGAAGCTTAAATTGGCCCCTAATCAATAACCAATATGCTAAATCCAAAGATGATCATTAATCTGGGTTAAGCATTCAATTGGTGAAATACTCTTTTCATGATTGTGTGTCTTGTATAATTGGGGTTTTAGCTTTGTAGAAACTATTTTTCACTTTTATCCTGTCTGAGGTAAAGGAAGGCATCCTTTTAGCTCCCTTTCCAAGTGAAAACCTTAACACCGATTTACAGGCTACTAACATCAAGTGAGCCAAAGAACCTTCTGCTTCTCTCAGTCTGCACAAGTTCCTGGGAGACAGTAGAAGCCCTTCAGTGGTGTTAGCAACAAAGAATGAATTCATTGTCCTGAAGCAGTTCCTCCTGGGAGCCTGTAGGCATGATGCTAACGTTTTGAAATGGCCATTGTAAGACACTTCCTGCATCCCCCTCCAGCTCTTCACATCCCCCCCAGAGAGACCTGCTGATGGATCCACTCTGAGGATGGGTATTTGGGTGAGATGCTTTCCAACCCAGGGTTTCCATAGCGCGAGGAAAGGAATGTTCCAACACCTGAGCTCCTGGAGGCACCTGCTCAAAGCAAATCAAGGTCTGTCCCTAACTGTTGATTGGCGGGTGGTGGTGAGATGCGCAGGAGCACAGGAACTGGACTTCAAACACGAATCTCGTTGCATTAAAGACCACAAGGGGGAGGTGGCTAGTGTTTTGGAAAATAATACAACTTTTGCTTTTTAAGATGTCTTTTCTTTTAAAATGCAAAGTCAGGCCGGCCTTTGGTAGAAATGATGGTCATTTAGCGTGTTGGAGGAGCTGGAGGGGATGTTTGTGTGTGTTGTGTATGTGGGCTGGCCAAACGGTTGGACAACCTTGGGACTTCAGTGCTCTGATCGAGAATTACTTCTAGATGGATGGCCAAAGAAGCTCATTTCATTGGCCCTGGGCTTGCTCCTCAATTGCCCAGTGTGACCGTAAGTCCAGGATTTCTTGAGGAGATGGGGAGTAGAGAGTATTGTCTCTCTCTGGGCTCTGCAGAAGGAACACAGGTGTTCCTCCACGGGTCCTGTGACAGTCCTCCATGACAATGGCCCATTCGGAGGCGCTTTAGAACAGTCAAAGTGGAAGGCTCCACTTCCAGAGGAGGCCAGGCCTTACAACATATTTGACTAGTCACTGGCCACAGCTCGCTGTCTGTGGCTGCAGCATGCTTTGCAGCCCGGCATGAAATAAACTCTGGCATGTTGAACACTGGGGCTACTGTTGCCAACAAATTGCCCTTCTCCTCTCCTCTCCTCTTCCATTAATTTCTGTGATTTGGAAGCTGGCAGGATCATTAAAAACAACAAAACCATTTTTTCTTTCCTGTGTTCACCACACTAAGGCTTTCCTAGCAGGGTCTTTTGGTGGAAACGTGTTACCAATTGACTGGAATCTTAAACTACAAAGCTGAGTCATAGCATAGACATGGTGAAGAAATCACAAGTGCTCTGTTCTATAATTCTCATCTTCCAATTTAGTAGGAGCTCCTGGTGGTGCACTGGTTAACCCAGTCTGTGTTTGGAGGGTTGGTGGTTTGAGTCTACCCATCGGCCCATGGAAAGCAAGGCTTGGTGATTTACTCCTGACCATCAGCAATGGTTTACTCCTGACCATCTGGGTTGCCGTGGTTCAACCTGCAGCCAGTCATGGGGACGGCACATGGCTGGGCAGCGTCCTATCCCATTCTACAGAGGGCTTCTCTGAGCTGCAGGCATCCCAAGGGCAGGTCAACAGTTACTTGATTGGACCTTGTTCCCTGACTCGATGGCATTTATTTTACAGAGATTTTTAGATACACGTAGACTTCTTGGTCAATACCATTCATTGCCCGATACATTTCACCCAGTATTTTCCTGGGAAACGTCTGTGCTTTTGCAGGGACAGAGATGATCACAGAAGAAAAAAAGCAAAGTCCATTTAATGGAACTGTCCCTCCACACCCGCCAAGCAGCAGCTGTTGCCTCTTGTCATCCCAGCTGTCACTAATGTTGGAGCCGATGCAGAAGCCAGATAGTCCTCCAGGGCTCGGCACAGCTGGTGCGGTTTATTGTTTGCTTTCTATGCACTTACGGTCCTCAGGAAATTTGGAACCAAATATCTGGGTTTTCTGACAGCTTCCCTCTCTGGTTCAAATGGCTTATGGCCTTCTGACTTTTTCTGTAACCCCTCAGCTCAAAAAGGTATTCTCAGAGTAACCTAAGCATGTCGAGAGGCTCACACAATGGAAATACCCACTAGAATTATGAACACTTACATGGAAAAAGTCAGATAATTGTCTTTTCCTCAACCTGGGACTCCCAGAGGAAAGTGTTTAAATAATCTAGTGAGGTAATAGAATTTAGTTGTGTTTTCAGTGAAAGGCAAACCCGTAACCTATAGGGCAGCCCTGGATGCTGCAACAAAGTGTCTACTTTGACAGTAGGTGATGGTTCCAAGAACATGGAATGGGGCTGTGTGTGTGTGTGTGTGTGTGTGTGTGTGTGTGTGTGTCCAACAAGTCAGCCAGCTAACCAACCACCCAACCAACCAACCGATCAACTAGGCAACCGATCAACTTTGACACAGCATGACCCCAGGGGTGGCAGAAGAGAAGTGTGCTCCATAGGGCTTTCCCTGGCTGGTTTGGGGAAATTCTATCTCCAGGAATTTCTTCAGAGGCTTCTCATCTCCGAGTAAATGGAGTGTCCCACTTTTATGTGAGCGGCTGATCGTATTAATTGTTTGCAGCACCCAGAGCCTCTCCAGCCTATTCAGTGCCTCCAGCATTTCAGTGTTGAGTCAGTGGAAATAGCTGTTATGAGGCTGAGCAACTGCGTATTTAAACATGTAAAGTAAGATTGGTTTAAGTCTAGTTCCAGTCATGTTCATCTTAATACTTTAGGAAACTTCCAAGGGTCTTACAAACAATATTTCCATTTCCTTATAGTGAACGGCCTCCTCAGACACTCATAACAGCAAACAAGAGGCACATTTCCTCAACAGCAAACTGAGCAGCCCCATGACAATGCCCTTATTATGACTCATATTTCCCCCGGATTCCAGTTGAGAGTAAAGCAAGTGAAGTCTCCTGAGAGCTTCTCCTCAACTTGAATGTGTGTGCGTGTGTGCACCTGCCTGGGTGTATATGTGCACACACACACACACACAATTCCTTGGCCATCAACTTGACAAGGGAAAAGCATCATTTGAATCCGTGGCACAAAACTCAGCTATGGTGTCATGATCTCATCTGAGGTCACCACAGTGGCTTCACTGAGAAGAAAGTTGGAAAGGAAAAAAATTTAAAAAGCCTACAAGACAAATAATAACTAGTCACATGCAAATACCAGATGTTTACAAATGGCTAGTCCTTACAGATTTAAGATCACATGGTTGCCATTTAGGGACACTGGAAACCTCCCAAGAATCGAACGCATTGAGAGCCATCAACATCAAAGACTTCCCTCACATAATTATTAGGCAGCATAAATGAAAGCTAATCGACCATTTAGAAATGCTATCGGTTGGCAACGGAACCCCTGTGCGCGCGGCATCATTAACAGCCGCAGTTGGGCTGCGGTGGAGGAGGGCTCTCCTTGAGTCTCGTGTTCTGCTTCGCGGCAGTGATGGCGGGGTCGGTCTCCAAACTCTCCGACATCTTGTCGCAGATGATATCGACCAGGCGCTCAAACGTCTGCTTGACGTTGATGTTATCCTTGGCACTTGTTTCAAAGAACTCAAAACCTGGAAGAGACACACAAAGACGCAGCTTGGTGAGGACGTGCTTCAGAAGTGAGCGGGAGAACCAGGCGGCTTTCTGTGCCCACAAAGAAGGTACCGTCTGGGACACCCACAAGGACAGCTCCACCCGGTCCTGCAGGGCCACGAGACCTTGGAATGCACTCGATGGCAATGCCAGCTGAAGGGAAATGGGATTTGTGGCTGTTGATGATGATGCCGCCATCATGGTGGGACAGCTGGGGGTGGTGGGTCTGGTGTGGCAAAGAAATGAGAAGAGGCCATCCAGTGCAGCTTGGCCAAATGCTAGCACCCCGCTGCCACCAACGGCACATGATAGCGCTGTCGGGTAGAACAGGCGATGCTCAAATGTTATTGTTTCTCCACAGAGCCGTTTCTGTGAGCAGCCTGGCTGAACGGGTTAAAAATTCATCTGCAGTATTAAGGCTCCTCAACCCTGGGTCTCTTTTTATCTCTGCCCTTCCCACCCATCTCCTCAAGCAGCCTCCTTCCTAAGACGGGTGTTATCTGCCATTTTCTTCTTTCCCCATTCCCAGATTCTACCAAAATAAGTATCATTTTCACTTTTTCTGACCAACTTGAGGCCTAGAAGTCTTCATGTGTGTACAAAGGGGCTTCCAAGAGTGAGAAATGGAATGAAAAGATCATGGGCATTTTCCCCATGAGGCTTTTGGACCCCACCCCTGTGTATTTACTGCCAAAGGCCACACTGGTGTTCCAGCCCTATTTCCATGCATGCCTGCTCTGCCCGGGGAATGTTTGATGTTGAGCTTTCGGTAACGTTCCAGTGTCTAATAAGGAAAACCAAAGAAGAATTGGTGCATTTGAATGGTGGTATGGTGGTGCTGGAGGAGAATATCCAAGTACATGGAGGAGACTATTGAAAGTAGCACAGTCTGCCCGGAGGACAAACAGATATGGCGGGGAAGAACTACAGCCAGAGCGCTCCTTAGAGGCAAGGATGGCGAGACTTGTCTTACACACTAGGACAGCATGCTGGGCAAAGGAGAAGGGCAGCGAAAAAGAGGAAGGCCCCCAAGGAGGTGGACTGACAGAGTGGCTGCGACCATGGGCTCAGGCACAGGGACCATGGTGAGGAGGGCGCAGGACCGAGAAGTGTCTTATCCTGTTGTGTGGAAGGCCACTATGGGGGCCTCCCTCCAACTCCAACCACCACCGCAGCAGCCACAGCAGCAGCTGATACTACTACTACAATACTACTACTACTACCCCGTTTCCCCGAAAGTAAGACATCCCTGAAAATAAGACCTACTTACAGTTTTACCTCTCACTGAAATATAAGGCATCCCCCCGAAAATAAGACCTCCCCGAAAATAAGGGTTTGGATTGTGATGATGATGTTCCAGAGGATGATGACATTGAAAAAATGAGTAAATGTACCATAGATTGTTGTACATGGAAATAATGGTAGTAACAAGACATTCTTGATACTGTAGGATTCACAGTTTTCTGGTCATGCTGGTTTGTGATGACAACTACTACCATACTGTATACAGGTAATAAATTTCTTTTTTTGTTGTTCAACAATAAATGTGTACCATATTCTTCTTCATGGGTAAATAAGACAGCCCCTGGTTTGTGATGACAACTACTACCATACTGTATACAGGTAATAAATTTCTTTTTTTGCTGTTCAACAATAAATGTGTACCATATTCTTCTTCATGGGTAAATAAGACAGCCCCTGAAAATAAGACCTAGCGCATCTTTGGGAGCAAAAATTAATATGACACTGTCTTATTTTGGGGGAAACAGGGTACTAAGCCCCGGTGGCATTTTAGGTATGCTTTGAATTGCTAACTACAAGGTCAGCTGTTTGAACCCACCAGCTGCTTCTGGGGCGAACCTGAGGCTGTTTGTCCCTGCAAAGGTTTAGTCTCAGAGACCCACAGGGGCAATTTTCCCCTGGTATAGGGTTTCAGTGAGTCGGACTGGCACGGGTAGAACAGGAGAGGAGCCCAGGTTGGTGTAAACGGTGACGTGTTAGGCAGGAAACCCCGTGAAGTCCGTTTACTCCCCCCACACAGGATCTCCAGAGTCAGAATCCACTGGCTGGGAACTGATTTAAGATGAGACACAAGGTGGCGCAAAAGAGTCGAGGATTTCCCTGAGGTTCCCTGGCTGCTTTCTCCATTTGGCTATTTTGAGTAGTGTGAGCCTCATAGCCCTTTGGGACTTCATTTACCACTGAACCTATCTAGGACTGCTGACTCCAACCACCCACCCTCCCAGCTTCTGTTATCAGTCAGCAGCACTGCTTTGCACACACTTTGGGAAGCGACACTTGATACATTTCAAATGAGCTGCCAGGATGGCAAGAAGGTACCACCTGCAGCGCCGCGTTCACACTGCTGCTGCCGCATCCCCCCGCCCCTGGACAGAAGCCGCTGCCGCCTGGTACACAATCTTATCCCTCTATTGTTTGCATTCACATTCCACTGGCTGAGCTTGTCAGCCAGTTGCTATGACAACCTCCCCATTAGACAAGCCAGAGATTGCGCTGGTCCATTCAGGGGCTGTTGATTTAGGATGTGTTGGGCAGAACACAGAAACGCTTTCCTAATCCATTCGAGTTTCACAGTCTATAAATCCCGCTGGTTGCATCTGGTCCTATCTCAGAGGAGCCACATGGACTCAGTGCGATTAAATCATGTGAGTCCATCCCAGGCTCGTGAAGCCCAAAGAGAAAGAACGGACTGATACTTTACATCCTTACTTTCATAAGTGGTATTGAAGGTTAGATTACAAGAAAGCAAACCCTAGAAGGTAAATTTTTAAGTTTCATTATCAGACTGTCTGGTGGGATGTTTGCTCCTGAGCTTCAATTTCATCAAGCACAGTGTATTCCATTGTTAGAGTCCAAGTGCATTCTTACAGGATCTGGGTGGAAGATGCATCAGGAGAACCAGGTTCTCTAAAATACTAGCCAATGTTTCCAATCAGCTTTGGCACGTTCCCTTTCATTTGTCTCCCCGCACAGTGCTGATATCGCCCTCTTACTTTCTGCACATCTTTTCTAGAGATTACATCGTTTGGTGTTAATAGAACTGTCCTTTCTAATGTTGGCATAGCTCACAGGCCAGACCGTTCAGTCCCTGCCAACGTGGTCTAGGTTTTCAGGATGGCGCATGTAGAGCTATAGCGCCCCGCTGGCATGGTGGACGACTCCCCGGGCTGCTCAAGTTGGAATGGACCAGCTTTCTGCCCTTGTGAAGGTGACAGCCTGGAGTACCAGAGAGTCAATGCTGCCCTATCTCGAAGGGTTTCTTTGGGTCGAATTGACTCAATGGCACGGATGTAAGCCAGATCCTTCATGCCAAGATGTCAGACCTCCTCGCATCCCTGTGGGGAATTTATCAGTATTAATGGGAAAAGGGTTTTGGATGATTTATTTTTAGCACAAGACACACCAAAAGACCCACTGAAGAATCATACTGAATGAGACTTCTTTCAGAAAACAACACAGGACAAACCACCAACCAACCTCAGAATCTGGCACAAAGGCTTCATGCATAGGTTCAATTTTTCAAAAAAATAACTCTTCTGCTCA